TTTTTTTTCCAGCTGCATAAAATTTAATTCATTTACTATTACACTTGTATCATCGGCAAATAGCACAACTGATGTATGTGATGGGACAGAACACTGTATAAAGGAGGGTAAGTCATTTACATAAATCAAAAACAATAGCGGACCCAAAATCGATCCTTGAGGAACTCCTTTATCAATTTTTCCCCAATTTGATAACTTATTGTTAAATTTTACTCTTTGGTATCTATTTTCTAAATATGACTCAATTAGAGAATACATCACACCGCTTACACCATAATATTTCATTTTAACCAATAATATACCATGGTCCACACAATCAAAAGCCTTCTCCAAGTCAAAAAATATACCACCACTTTTCCTTTTATTATTTAAGGCCATCAGTATATCATTTGTTAATTTGTAGGTTGCATTTATAGTTGATGTGTTCTTCCTAAATCCAAACTGACAATTTGAAAGGATATTATTTGTAATAAGGTGAGCCATTATTCTCTTATATATAACTTTTTCGAAAATCTTAGAGAAAGATGGTAATAGAGAAATTGGTCTAAAATTTGATACATTATTTTTATCACCTTTCTTGTATATATATGTGATCTATTGCTAGTGGGGTGGGACTAAGTCCCTTGTACTGCGGCCACTTCTGGCCTGTTGTATCACCCATGTGATCTAGGAAGAAGTTCCACCACATTCAGGGTTTGGACATATTTTTGCTTGCTGCAAAATGGTATTGAGTGTAAATTCATTTTTAAATTGGCTGCTAGCATCATCAGAAAAGATATGCAGATTACTTTATGTTGGTATGATCTGTTTTGGTGGCTATATTATAACTGAAGGCCGAGTTTGTCAGTCATGGTGAAGATCGCAATATAGGGTGAAGGACCTTCTTTGCAGTGTAGCAGTGCTGTATATGATATGATGCCTTCTGTAATCCGGTGAATTGAGAAGCTCTGCAAAGTCAGCTTTTAAAATGCCTTCTCCACCCTCTAGGTTTTCAAATGATGAGGGATAATGTTAAAATGGATCTTAAAGCGAGGGTAATGGGGATGTGGACTAGAATTATGTGACTAAGGTTAGGTACCCGGAGTGGGCTCTGATTGCTATAGTAAGCCTTTGGTTTTCATAAAAGGCAGTGAATTTCTTGACCTGATGTATTACTTAGGTTCTGTAGAAGGGCTTCTCCTTTGAGTTAATTCTTTCTCTACAGAGGAGGTAGGGAGCCAAGATAGTGTAGTTAGTATAGCAACTGGCTATGAACTGGACGACAGAGGGGTCAGAGTTCGAGTCCCAGTGGAGTCAAGAATTTTCTCTTCTCCATGTCCAGACCGGCCCTAGGCCCCACCCAGCCTCTTATCCACTGGGTAGCAGGGCCTCTTTCCCTGGAGGTAAAGCGGTCAGGGCGTGAACCTGACCACTCACCTCCATCAAGTTCGGAGGTCAAGAAAATCGTGGAACTACGCGTCCACTCCCCCATACACCTTCATGGCATAGTACTTAATTAGTTAAGCACAGGGACAGCTTTACGTACAGAGGAGGTTGTTTCAAGCAGTAATGCTAGTGACTTGTATTTGTGAGGGGCCTGATTTCAATCTAAGTCAAGACATCAACTACCCTGACTGCGGATTTTCATAGTTTACTCCGTCTGGGCAGTTGCTGGGATAACACCTCAAATGGGGCCACTGCTGTTCTCTTCCACATTGTTTCAGATCCATTATTCACCTATCCTATCATTCTTCACTGTATGAACAGAGCTGTAGATGGTTTAGTTCAATAAATCATATATAAATACTTGCCATAGTTGAATGTTACCAGCAAAACTGTGTTTAGATGTAGCTGATAACTGAACATTGAGCTGTTTTAGAAATTCATCAGCTGAGTGAATGAGTACCTTTTTCTTATTTGCTTTGCACTAATAGTAATCACATGTGTGTAGCATTATCGTGGTCTTTAGTGACTGTTGCAAATGAAGTGTGTAATGTTTTTGCATTTATCACAGTTTCTGGAATAGTAATTGGTATTTTAGGTGATCACCAAATCATAAAGTATGTACTAATTGCTCAAAATAAGCAAACAACAATTGAAGTTCTAATATTTGCAGCAGCAAACCTTGATTCTTTTCTGATATTGGCAAAATGTGGAGGCTGCAGAGGGGTGAATTTTGATTTCTTTATTTTGAATTTCTCGATGTTCCAATTTTGCCTCCAAAATGCTTTCATTAGCTTCATTTCTAGAATGTTCTTCTGATTCTGGGCTGACATCTTGCATCACCTCCAGCGTTGGTTACAGTCTCTGCATTCGGAAAGCATATAGCAAACTATAATTATCAGTGCGGTGAATTATGTACATACTCAGTAAGGTAGGGAAACTCCAGTTGCCAATTTTTTGGTTGTAAACTGTTGGAGAATGTTTTTTGTGTGTGTGTACTTGCTTGTGTGTATAGTTAAACAGCTTTGTTAAAGGACTATTCTTTCCTGTAAATTTCAGATTTGGGTTTGAACTTATGCTGCTACTGGTTCCAGCAGTTAATCATTCACAAAAATTTTTAAGTAGTTATATCTTTCTCGTTCATATTTTTAGCTCCCCCACTTGTTTTGATTTCTTCTGTTATTTGTTTTCCTACTTTTCAGCAGGAAACGTGGTAGCGTAGTGGTTGAGGAGCTATGCTACAAGCCAGAAGGTCGCAGGTTAAAGTCCCGATGAGGTCATTGGATTTTTTTCAGTTGACCTAATCCTTCCAGCTGCACTAGGCCCCTGGGGTTTACTCAACCTCTAACAGAAATGAGTACCAGGAATTAATTAAATAATTTTCCTGAGGAGTAAAGCGCAGCCGGTGCATAGGGCTGACACCCTCTCTGCCATCTTTGAGCCGATTGTCTAGACAATGTGGGACCCTCAACGTCTCACAACCCTATGGGCCTTCACGGCCTGGTACGGGGTTAGCTTTACTTACTTTACTTTTTACTTTACTCACTTTTCAGTGCTTTTTCTCCAAGCTCATTTTTTTACTGTAAGTAAGTAAAGGAAAGCTATCCCTGAACCAGGCCATGAAGGCCCATAGGGTTGTGAGACGTTGAGGGTCCCACATTATCTAGACACTGCTCAGAGATGGCGGTAAGGTTATCAACCTTACGCGCCGGCCACGCTTTACTCCCCAGGAAAATGATTTAATTAATTCCTATACTCATTTCTGTTAGAGGCTAAGTCAACCTCAGGGCCATAATGCGGCTGGAAGGATTAGGTCAATTGAAAAAAATCCAATGACCTCATCGAGACTTGAACCCGCGACCTTCCGGCTTGTAGCATAGCCCCTCAACCAACTATGCTACCGCGTGCCCCCATTCTTACACTGTACTTTCCATGTCTTTCTGCACCAGTTTTGACCACTTCTCACTACCACTACCACTGAAATGTATATAATAATTCACAGTGTTATGAAACACTTGGCAGAAGGAGATTTGACATGGGAAACTTGAGTACATTGAGGAAACTTACCCCAGTCTCACTGTGTCCACAAATCCCACATGAGCTTACCTGATATTAATCCTTCATCTCTGCTGTGAGAAACCAGCAAGCACTATATTTTGTCATATTTGCTCAAAGCAAGAAGTGTGAAACCAGCAGAGACAGCTGTTGCTAGTGATTGGCTCTGCAGGAAACAGCCATTTTTAGGCAATGGCTCAGTAGCAATCAGTTGGTCACCTCAACAGACAAACCCAGCAGTGGACTAACTGTGGGGAGCACTGTTCTCTCCACAATCTGTGATGCTACAGTAGAACTGTTGGGAGAGGTGTTTTCTATGGGGTCCATGATTAGGCTTTATAATGCAGACCAACTACCATTAGCCAATATAGAGTCCTGAAATGGCAATTAGAAAAGTAGGAGGTTGGTGTGAGATGGTAACCACCCCTCGAGGACGTGAGCCTGGGAGTAGATGAACATCCAGTGTTTGAAGATTTTGCCAAGCAGAGCAGTGAAGACCATGACAGGACATTAGTCTGTGTGTGATAGTGATTTGTAAAATGTAGTCAGAAGGTAGTTTAAGAGTCCAATGAATCTGTTTACCAATCCAAATCCCATCTATAGTCACTCTGTTGCTTGACATTATCAATACTTCAATTCAGAGAGTAGAGGAAAACATTTGATGTACTCCACTTAATGGAGATGGAAGTTGGCTCTGAATCAAAGATGCATTCATGCTGAGAAACATATCAGCACATAGGAAATGAATTTATCTATTAATTTCGGTCACTGGAAGAAAGTGTGTGAAAGATAATAAATACTTGAAAATATGTTGTAACATATTTATTAAAATAGTTTCCTTTGTTCTCTTTGAGGCACTAACCTTCATTCAGTGTCATCAACCATTGTGTCTCAGTCTCTTCACCATTGCTATCATCCTTTTAAGTGTCACTGTGTTAAGAACTATAATCTTTCTCATAAATATTGTCTCATAATTCAGAGTGAAATATTTCTTCATGAGCAAGTACCACTTCATTTCACAACTTCACTGATACTTTTGACTCATGGCTTTTGACATTGAAATATTTGTTTTACTTGCTGTCTACTCTGACAGCACAATGTGGTATGATTGTATATACCCCTGCATCTTAACACGTGCAGACAGGTCACATCAAAGGCTGTGATTTAAGTGCCATGTGTGGTGTATGGGTAAGTGGATCTGTGTATATTTTTATCACCCATGTCATTCCCATTCCTGTGGATGCTCTTTTAGCTCATGTATCAGCTTGGTTATTAGCAGCTTGAATATAAATGTTAGGTCTCATAATAGTGAACATGGACCACTTGTAATCTGTGCCCTTGGGTGCTGTAACTATTCATAACATTTCTACCTTTCAGTCTGCTCAGTTCTACTTGAACCACCATACAGCCACCACCACTTCAGGTACTTCCTATGATTTTAGACTTCACTATGCTCTGAAAAAATGTGTAGTGGGTCTCGTTTAGTCCACTGATGTAATATTGGGTGTGAGTTAGTACAGGGCCTTAATTACAGTATGTTGCCCTGCCTCCCACAGTGCATCTACAGCCCCTGACCCACTACTTCTGCCATACATCTCACATACAACCTAGAGGCCAGGTATAAAAACACAATCTATAAATGGTTACAACATTGTCCTACTTTGTGAATGACAATAAATCACACAGTACACATGAAGATGAATAAAATTCTTCCGTAATTAGCTTTCATCCTTTGAAGATTAGAAGGTGTATGGCAGAAAACAGAGCAGTCCACTTACACCAAGTGGTAAATGTATGTATGGCCTTGGCAGGGACTGCAGAGAAAACACTGCTTCCAACAGTTATTCTGTTGTTGAGTGGCATCACTATCTGCTCATACCTTATGGAAAACACTGTTCCTCTGTTGCATGTGCAGTCATTATACTAATGGGTTGTTTACTGTGCCCTAACCTGGTAACAGCTCTCTCTTCTGTTGTAATGTTACAGTATTTGGATTTTTTGGGGTGATCTTGAAGAGAAGTTACATATATTGGCCTCTTGACCATGCCATGTGTGTGAAAATGCATGGGAAGATTGGCTTGAGTCTCTCTTCGGGCTGGTGCGGTCAGACAGTTTGTTTTAGGCAGTCTAACATATTTCAAGCCTTTCAAAATATTTTGAATATTGCAAAAATGTTATGGCCTTACTGCTGGCATTTTAATGTACATTTGAATTAACAGCTGGTTGTTAGAGGAGTCCTTCAGCATGCATGGATGTAATACAGTATTGTAAGATATTGGTACTAAAATTTCGTTTTATGTTTTATTATGAATAACAGTGTCGAACAAAATTTTGAGTCTCTTAGGCCATTGATTGACTTGAGAAGAAAAGAGTTACAGTGCACACTGCAGCAACTCCAATGTAGTGTATATAACATATTTGGTAGAAATGAAATAATTCACATATTTTGAAGACCTTAGTGATTGAATATGTGAAGTTATTTCTTATTGTGACGGACAGTAAGCCCAGTTGTAAATTTATGTAACATTGCATAACATGTGTTACTTGCAGAGTTTAATATACATGTGCAGTGACTCAGACTTCCTTGCATGAGTATCCTGTGATTGTAAACTGAACACCAGTGTGGGACTTTTAAACTAAGTGGATTGCAATGACATATAGTCTAGAAGCTGACAGTGTCATTAAATGACAAGCTTAAGAAGAATGTATGAGGATTCTGACAAACCTAGTAAAACGTGTTTCTTATTTTGGATTAACTGTCATGCAGATATAATGAGAATAATTGCTGAATGCAATAAAGTATGGTGATATTCATGTTAACAATTTTTTTTTTGTTGTAACGCCCATAGATTTTAATGCAATAAAAAAAATGTTAAATTCACTTGCATGTATCTGGCTTCAAGCTGAATTATTATTGAAAAGTTAAAACAATGTTAAGATTAAAAATAACAGAAACTTTGATTCAGATTTTTATGAGGGAGAATCAGTAAATAAGTCACAAATGGACGTAAAACAGCTGTAATGGATGTAAAAAGTTTTCGGTGTATATCACTAGGTAGCAGTACAGTCCAATTTCGTGACAATCTAGGTAGTAGATGCACATGCTCATGTTCGGAGGCTAGTTTCAGTAGTCAAAATAGTAACCTGCTTGAAGGGTGTACAGCCAAAGAAGCATTCTGTTGTGCATTTCTTTATGGACAAAAGGACTCAGTGCAAAGGATACTAATAAAGAAATGTTTCATGTTTATGAAGGGAAGTGTTTGTTATGTAAAGTGGTTCACAACTGGGTCATAAAATTCTCTCAAGGACGTTAAAAAATTACACATGATGCCCAACCAGGTCGCCATGTTCAGATTGCAGCAGAAGCAACTGTGCAGCAGGTGGAAGAGTTGACTTCTATGCCGTGGGTTTCAATGCACTGGTAAAGCAATGAGACAAATATATAAATGTTGGTGGAGGATATGTCAAGAAATGAATGTTTTCTCCAGCTTCAGATATCACATGGTTTACATTTTATGTCCATTTGTGGCCTGTTTACTGACTGCCTTGTAGTATAAACAGAAACGGTTTCAGGCATGGAACTGAGTTGGCAGTCATCAGATATGGATAAATGACTTCAGAGTATGATTCATTGCAACTATTTGGTACCATTAAGCAGTTCGTGCAAGCACAAACATACCTGACTGAGCTGTAGACCATCAGGCATTTTGGATAGAGAGGACTTTTATGCAGTGATTCTGTATGACTAAAAGTGGTTCAAGCATGAACCAATGCTTCAGACATTTTTACAAGATATTACTTCATTATGTGCCATATATTTTCTCTATTTTGGAGTTAACATCACCTGTAGACAAGGAAGGGAGTGGAAAAGCAACCATATAAATCATTGAGGAATGCATTGGCCATGTGGAAACCATGAGTGAGGAGAATTTGTGATTAATGTACAGATATTCTGGGGCAATTTCAGACACATTTCCAAGCATCTTACACAGTGAACTTTACATAAGAAGAGTTTATACTAATATTATGTTGGACATTGTTGCCTAAGCTCTGTTCATTTTACGTAACACTTAGAGAGCTGGATGTACTTATATCTTCATGTTCTCTGCTACCATGTTGCAGATATTATGCTGACTTTTTTAAAGGTTGGTATCAGCAGTTGGGATCAAATATAGGTATGTTGAATACTGGGGAATGAATGAGTGAATTAATTTATTAATAAGGGACGGGTCTTTACTGGTCCATGCATCGTAACCATGATTATCTGTCGTGTGTGTTCTCTGTTCTTCCTTCCAAATAATCCTGAACTTCAAATAACATGTATCTAACTTAAGAGGGACATCTAGATAGTTATCTTAGTTAGTTAGTTATTGGAGAGGGTGGGTTTCCCCATGCACTTAGACCTGTAGTGGTCCATTGTGCTTCCCTCTATGATTTCTCCCAGTCTCTATATCCTACCGGTATTGGTGCTTACCATCAGTCCCGCCCAGCCAGCGAGACCGGCTCTACTAGCTGAGAGGTATCTATAATGCTTCCCCCATCTACCAGAGGTATTAGTGACTGCTGTTGGGTGTGAAACGTCTGCAATTTTGTCTCAGTGACCTCCTTTGGAGGTATGAGGTTCTTTTGCGTGCCGTAAAGCTACGACACGGGACCCACGGCTTAAAGTCCCTCCCGGAGGACTTGTTCCCTGAATTTTTCCGCCCTTAAAAATTCGACGACCTCCACCGGGTATTTGAACCCGCTTGCTACGAGTCATGAGGTGAGAACGTTACCTCTAGACTACGGAGGCCACTTTAGATAGTTATCTTGTTCATAATAGTATTGTTCCAGGTGATAAAATATTAAGGTGTAGCTTCACAGTCACATAAGATGTGAGGTTGTTTCATATTTCTCCAGACACCATCCACAAGCAGGATTATTTTTAATCCTGATTTAAAAAGGTGTCCTTTCAGGTTACTGTATCTTGTAAGTAATCCATTTACCCCAAAAAAATAAATGGGAATGGGAAGTTGATGTGCAGTGTTTGAGTAATTTAATAATGTTTCATTATTCATTTTCTGACATTGTGAGTGACAAGTGTGGATGTACCACTTTTATCCTGAAACAACCATCTCTGTGATATGTGGTTCAGGAGTATCAGATGTTGCTTATAAAGAGAAGATACACAGAAAAATCGAGGGCTGAGCATAGGTGAAATAATTGTTTGGTTGCATCATATAGAAATGGGATGTTACTAGGATGGCAAGAAATGGACTGATGTAATCAGTATATTTTTTTATTTCAAATATTAAGTAATTGAAGTAATGTGTAATCAGAATATATCATTAGATTCTAAAGGGTTCTGACGATGGTGGATGACACAGCATTACTGGGTTTTTGGACTTTTTCCATCGTCCGGAATTCTAGGTAATAGAGGACACGATGTTTTGGAAACAGATCCAGTTTCCAAAATGTTGTGTCCTGTATTACCTAGAATTCCAGATGATGGAAAAAGTCCCAAAACCCAGTAATTTTGTGAGAATATATCATCTTTGAATACGCACATAGTTTCTGCTGCTGTTTATTTATTTTACAATATAACTACACCACTGTCCCTTGGGCAGAAAAATTGAAGTTTCCTACCTGAAAAAGCAATGCTTCTACAGATTTTATATTCATTATTCTGTCTTAAAAAGTTTGGATGTACATTTATTGATTTTTGCTTTCAGGTCTGAATGAAGAGATTTGAAGTAGTGACCATCTGAAGAGATTATCTAAATCCATAGCTACTTTGACAGTTCATAAATATGGGGGTGCAGGACTTACAGAGTTTCCTTGAAAGTCCACAAGTGACTGGTGGATCAGTACCTGTAGATCTATTACGTATTGCACGTGGTGTTGCTCAGAGGCAGGCTCGTCAACAGCAGAGAGGCGGAAAGAATGCTGGTTCCCAACATACTGGTAGCAACAAGCTTAGTCTTGTTGTAGATGGTGAATGTTGTCTTGACAGATTATATGGAGGCTATTTCTCAGGTATGACTTGTCACTACAGCTGTAGTTTCAGTAATACATTCTGAGACACTTCTTTGGTAGAATGTTCTTGTTTGAAAACATAAATTGTGTTGTTCTCAATCACTTAAACTGACTTGCTATTGGATTGGGTGAACCATATGGTTAATTCTTGCTATTGGATTGGGTGAACCATATGGTTAATTCCTTGTTTGGTTCAAGATATGCCAATAAATGGAATTGTGTGTTTCAGCAATTATTTCATTCCTTTCAGATTGGGCATGTGGTGGTCAGTGGAATCGTATGGTTCAGTTTTTAGCAGTTTTGATACAAACAGTGCAGACAAGCCACATTGAACTTGCAGTTTTTTTCAATGGATGCTTAGAACAACAACGTATGACTGAATGGATTACATCCCAGCAAGAAGTGAGGAAGAAAATCAATCAGGTACAAATTTACTTCAATAGTTATTTCTGGTGTATGATTAATTATGATGGATAATGAAAATAATACAAGTATTAGGCATTACATTGTATGTTTCAGTAATTCTTTCTTATGCACTGCTTCAGAAATATTTACATTTATGCGTTTTTTAGATTTTTGCTCTTTGCCACAGTTAAGATTCATATTGTGTTCCTTTAGGTTATGTCACTGTACAGTCTGGGGGGTGAGTGCAAAAGTTTTGGGAAAAATACTGCCAACTTCAGGGTACTTTTCTCAGATATTGGTACCCTCCTCCTCAGACTACTTGATGTCCAAACCTAGAAGAGCACAATATATTTTCATTACTGATTCATGGATTGTCCATCTTCGGACAACAGTAACATGCAACAGTGCACAAGTCCTGGAGAAAAATTGGATACAGGACAGGTGTTGTGCTGTGTGTCTTGAATAGTGCTGACATCAAGACAAAAAGATTCCAGCTGTTGTAACAATGAAACTTCTGGCTCTCTAAACTATCATTCTATGGAGCTATTCATTATTGAAATCACAGGACATAATGGCATGTCATATCTATATGTTAACATTCGACCATGCTAAAACATTCTGTCATACCCAGTGAAAGGGTTAGTTATAACTGAATTGTCAGATTTTTCATATATAGTTATCCAGGCATGTTGGCTCAGGTGGTAACCCTTCTGACCTATATTTGATAGGTGCCTCGTTTGAGTTGCATTGTTAGCCATTGCTACGTAGCAATGACTAGTGAATAAACACAAGATTTTTATGTTTTCTGTAGTTGCAGTGATTTAGAGTGTGTAAATCAGTGAGACTTACAGATATTTGTAGTTATGAGTTATAAGTGTCCAATAAATCCAGTTATCAATCCAAACCATTTTTCTAATAACTAGCACTCGACAGTGCATTTCAGTGATATTTTACTTTTGAAGTTGTATCATATTTTGGGGGTGGGGGAGTGATAAATAATGTCTTAAAGAGGGTTCTCTGTGGAAGTCCTAAGTCAGGTATATTGATATCCATTTAACTTAAGCATTGTTAATTTCACTGAAAGTCATGAAAATCTGGTTTTTCTTGTTTTAGGTATTAAAACATATCAGCACTAAAGGCACACCTCCACCAAAGGTCTGGTGGACTGCTCCTGTATGTCTGAGAACATGTTTACGCATGGCCTTGCGCCATCTCAGCGTTAGTGTGGTAAGAATTTCTGTTCATTAGTTTTGTATTTCACCATTTAGACAGAAATGTCATATGACAAGGGTATTGATCAAAGGGAGCATGCCTGAAGTGAATATGTGTAGATAAGTGTGACAGTAGTAGAAGTAGACTTTTGTATTTTGCCATTAATTAGAGTTAAGTGAATCAGTTAATTCACACTGCATCTGGCTGATCCTCTTGGGACAGAGCAAGAAAATGATTTAGGAGAAGTTGAGCCTACCCCTTCTTCTGGATGTTGCCTTTTTTTCCTTTCTTTCTTTCTTTCTTTCTTTCTTTCTTTCTTAAAATATCTTATTGCAAGGAGGAGTGTATCATTGTTACATTTGTGCTGACAGTTTCACATTTTTGAGAGCAGGAAAAGCAACTTGTTAATTTCCCTGCCTGTTTCTTGCTGTTGTGGTCACATACTTTGCATTGCTGTGGTTAGCCACTGTACGAAGAAACAGATTTCCAATAGAACGAACAAAGATTGTAGTAGTTTTTTGATTGTCACCTTTATTTTATTTAGAAGCTGATTGCGACCAAAAATAGGATACTGTATGTAAGATGTGTAACAAAGATACATTTTTCATCTATTATAAAAATAGTGTGTTACACTTACAGATACAACAGTTGTCAGTAATTTAGTGGCGTTACAATAGTTTTAGCAATTGTAATTGATAAGAGAATGGAAGAAAATGGTACCCTTCCCATGGGTGTGAATTATTTTGTGAAGAAGTATGCTGAGATTATCATCAGGAATATCATGGATTAGGACATTCTGTCATGACTTCATGGTTAAGGTTGTTCTTTCCAGCATTTTTATGCTTTACTTTTTTTTTTGTCTTCTTGCCATTTTATTATCTAAATGTTTATGTGGTATTTAGTTCTTATACATTCTGAAAACATGTTCATACAAATTGCAATTGTAATCTTCAGTGTTAAGATTTTTTTATATTAAACTTGTTGAAATAATTAGACTGTTATATTCAATATGCTTTTAAAATTTTAGGATTATGTTGGAACAGAAGAACCACATTAATTATTTCAGAACTAATATTGCTTTACAGAAATGTTTGTAGTATTTAGTATGTCAAAACCACAAGACTGGTACTAGTAAAAAATAAGAAGTTAGGTTTCCTCTTTCGATCAGTATACTTTTTGAAAGTAATATAAATTTGGTTGATGACATCAGAATAAAAATTGTCTGTAATTGCTGTGAGAAGTGCTTGTAATTAAAATGGTTTCTTTCGATAAGGGACTAAAGCAGCTGGAAATCAGATTGGTGGTGGTGAACTAAAAGCGTGTAATGTCCATAACATATGAGGAGTACCATACACAGTGGGGCAGTTGGAGAGATTGCTGAAGGTTTTATGACTCAAGTGAAGGGTAGAATAAAAATTATTGCATGGAACCTCAGGATAGTGTCACATGGTCACTCATGGTGATGATGTTCACACTAATAACGAAACATAATTGATCAGAAACAAAATAACACCAAAAGAAATAGTTGGCCTGACACAAAAAATTAAGCATCATTAATTATCTGTATATCTATGTCATTTTGCAGAGATGGTCATAATATTAACGATATGCATGTAATGACATGTTTCACTGATGCATTTGTGTTGTTTTCCATGATATGTCTTAATGCTTCAGTCATCATTGTCTTTAGAAAATTGTGGTATGTTTTTTAGTTATGTACCATGGATGATCATCATCAGGAAGTGATTGCATATTGTAGAGAAAATGGTTTCCATGGTCTTATGGCTGATGATGGGGAATATGCTGTATTTGATCCCCCACGTTACTTCTCTTCTGAACATCTTAAATTAACTTACAAGGTATGGATTTAAGTAAAATGTAGGCCTATCAGAGGTATAAAAAGATTACGTAATAGTGAGATGGTGCCCATGAGCTGAATGTATAGCCCAGGCTAGGGAATGCATCACCAAAATGCCTGATACCTCAGTAGTTGTTCTTAATTTTTTACCTTTCCATTCCGAATTTACACCTGGTTCTTCCTTGAACCTCCCATTTGTTACTGAGACGTATTACAGTGAACTGAAGCTGTATACAGCATTAGATCTTTACTTCACTGGAAGTGTTACATGGCTAAATGCATGAAAGGTGTTTCAGTGGCAGTTAATTATGTTTTGGTGTTCTAAATTAGTGTTTGGCTTCTACTTGGGACCACTTCTGAAGACCCTTGGCAGATATTTATTTAACTGACCCAGTTGCCCTAATATTTATTTCTGTTCAGTGCAGTTTAGTTTTGCTTAGTTTTACTCTTTGTCTCGTTTTGTTCTCGGAATGTGTGCTGCTCTGAATTAAAATTCTAAGCTTATGTTTGCGAAAAGGACACTAACTCAGTACATAATTATCGGCGCCTGTTTTTGACTATGGATTACATTGTTGTTAGCAATGAGCCTAACATTTGTTTAGATCTGTGTGGATCCTCTGAAACTGAACCTGGTAGAGGGAGAAGCTGATGAGTTGGGAGCTTTCCACTGTTCGTTTTTTTCTAGATTAACATGGGTATCTCTCCATGTAAGAATTTAGGGAATCAAAAATCTGTGGAACTTTTTTTTTAATGAGAATGGAGTGAATCATATGTAGAGGAACATAACCTGTTTGACCCCTAGGTACACAGTTTTCATTATTATTTACATGAAGCACTGTTAAGGTGGCCATGAATCTGTCACATGATATGCTATTTGATTTGTATGACTGTTTTCACAAATGGATTTGTTGTCCAGTATCCCCACAGATTGGGTTTGAGGATGACATTTGTACAGCTGCTGCCAGAAACAGTTTTCATTTCTTTTGTAGATACATCTTTCCTTTAAGCAAACATCCGTTTTTGTTTCATTGGGCCTCGCTATTTTGCATATATGTTTCATTGTGAATGCTGTCAGAAATGTTGTCATTGAAAGAAAAGGCAAAAGAATTCAAAAGAGGAAATGTCAGTTATTCCCAATTTAGAATTTATTCAGGGGAGACCATAAAATGCAAACTTGTTTGCTGGAGGTGTACTTTGTGTCAACCTAATTCTGCATTGGGTTCTTTTTATTTGCTGCACATTTCTGGTTGAATTCAAGGACATGGACTTTTCTCATCAATAATATTGGCAGACTGTTCAGAATTTTCCTTATGTTATAGTTATCAGTATGCTTATTGTTTGTAATTTGGATTTATTAGAATCTGTATCATACTAATTTAGTGATGTTATGATTAGTATACTGGCGATGCTAGCTAGTTGTACTACTAGTATCTGTCACAGGATTTTCAATTTTATACAGGCTGCACCACAAAATAAATGGAGACTGTATATCATTCAAGTGCATTTCAAACTCTTTTTAGAACAGTACATGACTTCTTCTTGACCCTCTGATTGTGTTTCATCATTAGAACAGTTTGAGGGGGGGGGTTGGTATTAATTGACAAAGGCAGTTTACAACCTGAGGTGTAGTAAATTACTATATGCAGAGACCTGTACTGTTGAACTATAAAACTAGCATTTTGAGCTGTTCAACAGTAGAAATTTTATATCAGTGTTAAATGTAGTTGTACCATAGATTTTTAAAATTCACAGTGGTAACTTGTGCTGCTGTCAGTTTTCTGGCAAGGCAGGCTGTGTGGCAGATTATCATGGCCAGGTTTAAAGATTTTGAACATTATCAGAATAAAGATGTCTGTTATACAAGGTAGTAATTCCTTAGTCCAATTATAGTGGTACAGGGGATAACTGAGGAACATGCTTCTTCCATCTTCTTTGGTATATGTAGATAGCATCTTCCTCTGAAATGTCAGGATCTGCCCACTAAACTATATGGTGTTACATCCCAGAAGAACATGATAATTACAGCTGTGAAAACTTCTCACCTTTATCTGACTTAGGAGCTTTTGCGCTGTCTTAAGTGCAATGTCACAATATTTCACTACAGGTTCTGCCTAACTGGCCATCTTCATGCGTACATGGATAAGGATTCTGCTGCTCACTGTAATGTGGTTTTCTTTCCACTTATTGCAGTTGACTCTAGTTGTTTTGGTTATTATGGGTTGTATGTGGTTGCTTTCATGTAATGTGTGTGATGCACTATGTTAGAATTTTTTAAAGATATATATATATATATTCAGTTATTGTATGAATGATGAACGATATTACTTCCAGTTTTGTTTGGTTTGCTGTTGTGGCTTCCTTGAGTGTTCTTGCGGGCGGGAGTTCTGTTGTGTGTTGCTAGGCCATCATAATCGTTCAGTGTGTGTGTTTCCATGAATGCTGACTTCTGTTGTTGCTTATGTTGTTAAATACTTAAGTCCTTTCGTTGCACATAACTGTAACATGCGTAGATTTTCTATTAGAATTCATGTATTCAAAGTTATTTGTGTGTCATGTAATTAGTTATGTATGTACTTACTTGAGTTGGTGGATTGTATTCTCTCTTGTTGGGTGTTGTACTGTGTGTCTTGTTCCCTAATGCTTGCCGAGTTGGACTGGCTCTTTCTTTTGTAATGTGTTTATGTTGCTGTTGTTTAATTTTTGTATTATTTCAAATATCAGGTTATGGGTTCGATGTATGTGTCATTCATTTGTAATTCAGCTTTACTCATTTTATATATATATATGTGGTATTTCTGGAAGTGTTTTCCTTTTTTCTCTATTTTTATGACTTTCATAGTGTTCGGCATACTCCCATATGTATATCCTGCATTTAATATGTGATTTGAATATTCTGAGTTGCCGTTATTATTACTTATTTCCTACATATGTCCTTTATATGTGGTCTGGAATGTTCAGTGTGTTTGCCCTCTGTATTTTCATGGGCAATCCGTACATCTCATTTGGTGTATGCCACTTTTTTCATATCCGTTTATTTGAGGGTGAGGCTTTACTAGGTGTTATATTGTGTTTTTCTTCAGAATGCAACCTTAAATTTGCTTCTTTAAAAAGTCTTGTGATTTCGTTTGTTTCTTTTCTGTAATATGTAAAAATGGCTCATTTTGTTGTTTGGCGGTGTAGGCTTGTATTTTTGTTGTGTTTGTGGTTTTCTGAATGACTTATCCTTAACACTTTGCGGACCGGCGATTTAAATATTTAAATCACCCTGGGGACCGGCATTTTTATACCTAGTACCCTAACTTTTGCACTGTTCACTTTAAAAATTAATATAAAATCTAATTAATTNTCAGAAATGCTTTGTATTTCAATTTCGAATCAGGGTTTAGATTTTTGTAAACCAAAAGTGAATTGAAAATGGCACAATTTATAAGTCACAATGCAACTTTCACTTTTATTATCTGTGGCCACAATTCTTTGTTGACCCCTGTCACTTCCACTGTCTGAGTCACTAATCACTACTACTCCACAAGGCACTTCAGATAGCTCATTGGAAAAGAAGTCAGAGAGATCGCTTTGCCTTCAACCACTTTTGTCCTTGAAACATATTCCCCTTTACTAACTTCCTGCCTGGTACATAAAGAGCTGGAAGGAACAAAGTTTATTTTCTTTTGGAGTAGGGACCCTAGCCAGCCAGGTCAAGTTACTGAATACCTAGCATGCATTCCAAAGATTTATTATGCAGTATTCATTGCAGTTGCGTGGCACCAGAGCAAGGTATAGTGTGTTACAACCTAACGTGTCCTAAAATCCTGATGATATGTGACCATTGAGCCACATTTAAAAGCGAAAAGCATGATATCATGCGTCCGGTCCGCAAAGTGTTAAGTTTCTATTATATTCATTGTTATACTATAATGTGTCTTGTATAATATTTAGTTCCTTTGTTAGTGCTTCATTTGTTATTTGATATATATTTGCTTTGTTAAGTATTTAATGCTTTTTATTCTATGTTCATATGGGTGACATGAGTGATTTGGTATTAATGGTATCTGTTTGCATAGGTTTCCTGCATATCTGGAATTCTAGTTTTGTTCTTTTTTGGTATATTGTAAGATCCAGGAAATTGTTGGAAGTGTGTTCTTTTTCTGTAGTACATTATATACTGGTTCTTTGTTTGTTGAACTCTGTTAGTGTCTCATCTATATTTGTTGTGTTTTTGTTGTAAATTATGAGAATTGTATAGAACGTAATGTTGCTCATGAGACTGTAAAAATCTAATTGATACTAAGTGAGAAGTGCAACAGGATGCTGCAATATAATATTATGAGTTCATGTGTGTTTGATTTTTAGGGCTCCCTTGAGACTAAAGAGTACATCCTTACTGAAGTTGCAAAGGGTTTGGGTTTGCAACCTGATAGATTCTGTATACTGGCAGCACTTCTTGGCAACTACATGCTAACAGAACAAGACTTGGCAGACTTCTATCGTAAATTAGGCATGACTCAGAATCCAGGAAAGGTAATGCTTGATCTGATCAGAGATTTTACTTTGATGAAATGGTAGTTGTAGAGCATGATGTCTGAAATTACATTATTATTCTATTGTACTCTTCAGAGTTGATAGATTATGAATATAACAATAAGAGACCTAATATGCAATGGAACTTGTGAATATGACATTGCTTAATAGATTTTCTGCATGAAACTTAAAAATAATTTTGTTCCAAAACTTTCCCAAGATTTATGTATATTTTACCCTTGTGTTTCATGTTTAAAATGATATCCCACCTAAAAAGCCAGTAACATTTACTACAGAACTAATATTTTAGCTGCCAAATGCATTCTCTATGTCAAAGTATGTGCATTTAACTTCCCAAGTTTGACTTGCTGCTTCAGTTTCCTGCAAATATGCAGTAAGATGTTTTGGATGCAGGTTAATTCACTTACTTTTGTCCTGTGTAGAAGACTTCATTAGAAGTGTTAAAAATGAATCCATTTTCTCACTTGATTTTTATGCTGAAAATTACTTTGGTATAAGATTCCCATAATTTAATTCAGGCAAACTCTGCATATCAAATTCTGACTTAAATTTTTCACCCTCTTCAGATTCCAGTTGATGTACTAGTAAAAAATGTTGCTGGATTTGTGAAGACATTACCTTCTATAGATAATTTGGATTCCACCGCAGTTCAGGTTTTTGGCACATCATCTGATAAACGGGCATCAAAACTGAAGCAGAGTGTACAGTATTATTTGAATGGCACTAAGGATGGTTTCTTACGTTATCGGCCACATCCAGCAGGTAAAAGTTGAAAGTATACATATTACATAAGGAACCTGTTGTTATGGGCTTTATATTCAAGGCTACACTGTGAGCGGAGTGTGTTACAAGAGGCGGCATAAAATAACCCACAAGATACAGGTCATTTCAAGATTTTCAGTCCAAAAATATTAAATGATATAGTTAGGTAATCAATGCACTATAGTTTGGATGTTTTTTTAAGAATACAGTCATCCAGCCATGATACATCCTCGTTAGTGCAGCCTTGTTAATAATGTGAATTTATACAATTCATAAAAATACTCATTTTAATGGGTACTTTTCATATTCAAATATGCTTGAAGTACATAACCTTGAAGTCATTCTCATAACTTCTAATTATGTACATTGCAGTGTAGCACAAAGTTTTAAAGAAATTAAAGTGTTTATGGCAGTATTTATTCTTTTTGGCATGTATGTTTGCTGACTTTCCCGTTGTGTTCAAAATCGGAAAGTAGTAAAGGATGCTTTAGATAAAGATCTACACACGTGTTTGCACGTGCTTAGAACATAACTCACTGGTTATTTATAGGAGAAAAAATGTTTCACACAGATGGGAGTAAAATGAAACATGTTTTGAGGATCATTAATTTTTCTGTAGGTCTTCTGATTTGTGAGATAACATGTTTAAAGTGGTTGTCATGCAGGTAAAATATTGAAGAATGATTCCACATACTTACTGCACCCATGTAAAATTTTTAGGAGTTTCTGTTTGTACAGAATGATGTGCAAAAAATATGTGGTTGGTTAGGACTCACCAATAATGACAGAAGTACTGGAAAAAAACTCTATTTTTGTGAGGTTTAAAATTATGTAATGCTATGAAATTGGTGATTCTAATGTTTTAGTTATATAATGAAGTTCTCATCATAATCCATATAAGCTGTACTGTCATATTATAAACAATGTTGCAGCTTTAGTTCAAATTTTAGCATCAGTATAATATGACATATACATGTACATATTAATTTTGCACCAGGTTCATTTGTGAACCTTAAGTTTGAATTTTATATGGCTGCAAATGGCTATTGATTTCAGAACCTAATTTGAATGTGTGTGCACACATTTGATGGGCAAGGAATATTGACTGTATCCATTTTCTTACTTTATTTGATGGTTTTCATAGATACTGTGTTGTCTTCTAGTTTATGTTCATTTAGAGTGTCATGACTGTCTAACTACAGTATCTCCCTTTCATGGGTTCTCTACCTTTCTTTTCAATTTTGTATTTTCTTCCTTTCCAAATTAACTGTTCCGGTCTTCCCTCCATTCCTGAACAGTTCCAGAAGCATGTCTCTCCCCCTCCCCCACTCTTTTTTGGAGAAGCATTTTCATTGGCGTTGTAGGTATGAAGAATGTAGAAATGAGATATGGTGCCAGGTTTGAAAGCACTCGTCACTGGAAGATTTTGATCCAACAGTAATCACCAATGCTTTGAACTCCTGATTTGTTGATTTCACAAGAAAGGTGAAGGACATGGGTACTTTGGGGCATTACTGGTGAGAGGAGCATTTTAGTGTGTTAAGCTGGAGGATGTTTAAGGTCCTACCCATTTTCCTGACCTATGCTTGCTTGGCAAGGTGAAGGATTCTTTTATTTTATTAGCTGAGGACTCTTATGTCACAGAGTGTGTCATTTCAGTAGGATAATGGAAGTAATGTACTGCTTATTTCATATGCCCTGAATTGTGGATGTGGTTTTGAAATTCCCAGTCTAATTTTTAGCAGATAATAAAGCTTTAATCTGCTCACAACAAATTTTGTACCCACATCTGAAGAGGGTTTGAATTTGGGGATCTTTTCAAGTCAAAATCTGACCTTACCACAAAACTTATCTCCATGCACCTCATAGAAATTTTGCTAAGGTGGGTTTTTGAATCATGATAGAGATTTTCCTGTGTTGTGAGAAACAGACAGAATGTAATGTAGTGACAGATTTTTTGACATACTTTAACCTTCCCCCTGAAGAATGCTTTCAAATTCATTACCAGGAATAGGGAAGCTACGTGTTAATAGACAAAGCAGTCAGATTTTCTCCTTCCCTTTATTAACAAGCAGATTTTATTTGCAAGTTCTCTTGTTTTATACATTACATTTTAAGTGTGCATTGAAATGCTTTTAACTTGTCTTTTATAGTTATGAAATTTATATATGTTTTATTAAGTTATTTTATTATTACTAATTTCAATTGAGGGATGAGGAAAAATACTGAAGAGCTAAACATCTTATTATATTTGTTTTTGTGCATTAAGTTGGGTATGTGTTCAGCAATCATCAATGCTAGTTATGTGTTGTAAAGTTGATCTGAAGTTAGTATTATTCTGGGTTCATTTATAATGTAGGCCTGTTGTAATTAAGGTTGTATTGTTACAAGCTCTTTTCCAGCCTAAAAAGCCAGTTGCAACATTTTTATTTTAAATAAAAAGGATGTCAACTTTCAAGCATGCACTTGCTTTCGTGCTGTCTTCTTTATGTAATGTGATTGCAGCAAGGCGATCTGATACAGCACACGTCACTGGACAAGCCAAAACACCTCCTCACACAAATACCAAAGGCAAACATGCCGAAAATCTCGATACTTCTAGGTTTGCTTCTGAAACTGCAGAGAGTGAGGTATGTTATAGTGCCACTTTTGAAATGAGGTATACATTGGAATTATTATTTTTTCTTTTAATCTTGAATTGTTATGTTCCCAGCCTCATTGACTCAGTGTTAAATACCCTTAATTTACAGTCTTTCTTAGTGAAATCCATTTTCCTCCAGAAAAACATTTGATGGAAAGAGTACTGTCTCTTGGGATATGACACTGTATGGTCGCCACATCCCAGAAGATAGTATTCTTTGTAGTCACCACTGAGATACTCAAATCAAATATATGATGTCAATTTCCGTGCAGGTAATGTTTCATATTTATGTCTTATCATTTTGAATAATATTCTTCATTTCTTGTATTTTAATAGTTTCATGATTAATATTTTTTGTAATAATTATGTTGACAGTGATAATTATAGATTTTCATTTCATGCATCCTGTTGTGTTATAATATACAATTTCTTTATTACAACTGTCACAACACAACAGTATTAAGGTCAGTGCCTAGTTTGGCACTGTTACATGTTTTGGCTATTAAAAGCCATCATCAGGCAAAATACATGGCTAATATATATACACCACTGAACTGCAGTACTAATAAATTGGATACAATAATATTAATTATATTAAAATACTTGGCGTAAAAATACAATAAATTGGATTATATAAAACAAGAATAAAATTCTTTGAGTGATGTTTTACATCATTGAGTCAGTTGTGGGTTTTTGTGATTTTTTGCGTTCCCACAGACAAATTGTAGTATTCTATATTTTGTATATATATATTAAATTGTTTTGGATGCCAGTGATGTAGATGTAGTAATATTAATGTTAATTATTTAGTCGGTGCCTCATCTTACAGAGTAATGTCCATTCTCAACGAGTCATTTACTTTCCCTACAGAACGGACAGTACTTTGTAAGATGTAAAACATCGCTCGAATAATTTTATTCTTGTTTTATATAATCTAATTTATTGTATTTTTATGCCAAGTATTTTAATATAATTAATGTTATTGTATCCAATTTATTATTACTGTATTTCAGTGGTGTATATATGTTAGCCATGTATTTTGCCTGATGATGGCTTTTAATAGCCGAAACATGTAGCATTGCCAAAGTGGGCACTGACCTTAACCCTTTCGCGCGGTCATTTAAATTCCGCTGCCGTCTCTCCGGCGGTAACATATTCAGCCGTCCATTTAAATTTTGCTCGAAAATGATTTATTCATCATTGTTCTTAAATTATATGAGATAGGAACATGAAACTTTCACTAAAATGATCTTAAAAGGTGGTTTTATAACCTTACCTTATAATATGAGCGCCCTGTATCTCGGCAATGGAAGCAGGTTGTTTAGTATTTGAGCAGTGAATGGTACGCCTTGAAGGATGAAACTTTCACTAAAATGATCTTAAAAGATGGTTTTTATAACCTTACCTTATAATATGAGCGCCCGGTATCTCGGCATTGGAAGCAGTTGGTTTAGAATTTGAGCAGTGTAAGATAGGCCTTGAAGCATTCGTCTAACCCAACGCTGCCCCACATNAGGGGGTGACCACAGTGTTCTGCCTTAATTCGTGACGTTTTTCTAAGAACTGGGTGGTATGTACTGTGCGAAATCAATCGATCTTGCAAGAATAAATTTTTGGACATCCCTCTTCTAAGAATTCCAATTGAGTGTGTTAGTGTGGCCAGCTCAGGGCAATATGATATTATAAACACAGCACATATCACGTCTCTGCTGTTTATAACTTCATAGCAAAGAAAACACGCCATTCATAACAGCTTGAACGAGGAAAACTCTACCAGAAGCAACACGAATTTGCTGCAAGACAGACATATGTAACGATGACTTAGCGCAGCTAAACTCGTGGCTTATTATACTCTGTTCTTGTGACAACAGGCCAGCGAAAAATCTAACAATCTACAGCAAAACCATCAATTATTATGGGCATTGTAACATAGGTGTGCAGCTGGACGAAACATAGACGTCGAACCCCCACAGACGATTTAAATACCTGACGAAACATACACGTCAAACCACACTGAACGATTAATATAGTTGTGTTGTGATTGTTTTAATAAAGAAATTGGATAATTATAGAATTGATTTTGCTGACGTATTTTTTAATTCTAAGTCACTGCCACTGCTGTAATAACGGTAATGTGGTAGTGTCATGCATACCAATCTAGTAAACTTTTTAAATTAATTTCCAGAAGTGAAATTTCGAATATGAAATGTTGCTTGCTAGGACATTCGCAGAAATGTTAACCCTCTCATGTTTTATCAGACATTGGCAGTGATTCGCAGCCTTCTCCCCACCCCCATGTACTGATATAACTTCTTGGTTGCTTCATGGCTGCCCTAATTGAAAATCTTGATTTTTTGCTTTAAAGGGGTACCAGTTCTGTAACTCTTGTTCTTTGAATCTGGTGTTCCAGTATTTGCACATCATGTGTAATGATTATTTGCAGCTTGTGATAGAATAGAAACAAAGAAACATGAAACAAATATATGTAGAGTTGGCAGAGAAAGTGATGTACTGAGCAGCCTCCATAGTCCAGAGGTATTGTTCCCACCTCATGACTCGTGGTACGCAGGTTCAAACCCAGCGGAGGTCGTGGAATTTTTAAGGGCGGAAAACTTCAGGGAACAAGTCCTCTGGGAGGGACTTTAAGCCATGGATCCCATGTCGTAGCTTTACAGCATGTAAAAGAACCTCATATCTCCAAAGGAGGTCACTGAGCCAAATTCAAGGACATTTCCCACCCAACAATAGTCTCTAACGCCTCTGATAGATTGGGGGAGGCATTATAGATACCGCCAAGCCAGTAGAGGCCGAACTCGCTGGCTCGGTCAGGACTGATGGTACGCACCAATATCGGTAGGGTATAGAGACTGGTAGAATATCATAGAGGGAAGGACAATGGACCAATACTGGTCTAAGTGCATGGGGAAACCCACCCTCTCCAATAACTAACTAACTAACTAACTAACTAACTAAGTGATGTACTGAAAAAATGGAGGGAGATTAATTTCAGTTACTTAGCTAGCTTAGTACATCAGTAAATTCTCTAGTTGGATTTAGCATTTTTAAACACCATTTTTGTATTGTACAGCGAGATAGTTTGGCAGCCTACAATGAAGCTACGGCAAATGCTACTAAAACACCACAAATAGTAATTGAACCTCCCACAATTGGTAGCCAGAGTGATATGGCAAAATCTGCTGTTAATGACAACCTGAGCAACTGTGAGGCAAAGAACCATACCAGTGGTGCTGATGAGGAAGATACAACCTTGACTGTTGGTATGTTTCAGCAAGAAAGTCATTTATATGTTATGTTTGTTACCATATATATTTGCTTAATTGCTGTTTTTAAATTACAGAGAGATTTTTCTGAATTCTCCAGCAGAATGAACAGTAGCCTTGAAGCAAGCTTGTGGATTGTGGGCTGGTATACTCATGTCTCAAGCTTCATGTTGCATTAGCTTTGCTGTAGCATACTAGACTAGTACAGTAAGCATTCACTTAGCATTCGAATACTGCATGAGATGAATATTGGAAATTGTGTTCATTTATTATACCTGCATAAAAATGATTCTGCAAGACAAGTTTGGAGAAGAATACTGTCTTTTGGGGTATAATGCCATATAGTTCATTGAAAGTCAACTTACATTTCAGAGGAACATATCGCCTCCAACTTCAGTGTCGAAGAATATGCTGAGCAAGAAACCACGTGAAAGCTTTTGACAAGCGGAGCCACCTGCTTCAGATTCTGCTCGTCACATGCTTTCACGAAGATTTCTTGCTTGGCTTATTCTTCGACTCTGAAGATTGAGGTGATATGTTCCTCTGAAATGTCTGTCAACTTTCAGTGAACTACACAGCATTATATCACAGAAGATAGTTGTACTCTTCATAACCACTGTGAGAACCTAAAATCTTACAACTTAGGAGAAGATTTCGGGATGTTTCAGTTCCAGTTAAAAGAACTCTTCATTTGTTGTAAATAAATTAGGACAAGCAGTGTTGATATTAGGCAAGAAGACTGAATCAAAATGATGAGTGTTGCCTGAAGAGAAATTGGATGATGTGGTTGCTAGGCTTGAAGACTCATAAGAAATTTCTCAGCATGAGCTATTATACAAGGGTTGGATAGAAAGTAGTGGCAACACTGCTGTACCATGAAAGATGTGCATCAGGTGGCACTAGCGCCACCTGTAGCTGATAGCAGAAGTTCAGTTGAAGTAGTGCAGTGAGTGGCTTTGCTTGTGTTTCATTGAGTTGCATTGTGCATCGTCTTGAAGTGCAGGAGCCCAGTTCAGGCAACCTAACAACATGTTTACGAAACAAGAACAACGCTCCTGGATAAAAATTGTAGTTACATGAGGTCGTAGTGCACAAAACTGTTATCAGGGACTGCGAAAAGCATGTGGTGATGCTGCTCTGCCATATTGCACAGTGGCACGATGGGTGAAATTGTTCTGTGAAGGGAGGGATGCTATTCAGGACAACCCCATGTTGACAACCACACAATTCAGCTTCTTGCTTCTTTGCTGGATGTCGATTGTCGATGGGCTGTGTGGGAGTTAGCTGCTGAAGTAGGCATATGACACAAAACCGTGCTCCACATTCTGCACAGTATTCTTGGATACCGCAAAATTACAGCGCGTTGGGTACCCCATACAATGTCCAAGGTGCAACAATGGCAGCATTATGCAATTGTGCAGGACTTGTTGGACTGGTGCCAGAAGGAAGGTGCTGACTTCCTTGGAAGGATCGTCACTCTGGACGAAACCTGGGCTTGCTCATACAAACTACACTTGAAGTGACTATCAAATGAATGAAAGCATCCTGGCTCTCCTCATCCAGAGCAAGTGTGCCCTACACAGAGTAATGTGAAGGCAATGTTCATTGTGGCATATTACATTTATGGAATGATACTGTACCATACTGTACCTCAACGACAGACAGTAAACGCTGCCTACTTCTACAGTTTCTTGCGTAATCATCTTCGTCCAGCACTCAGGAGAAAGCGACAACACTTATTGGCAGTGAACCTCATCATCCTACATGAGGATGCAAGGGCTCATACTGCTGACGCTGTCAGGGATCTCCTTCGCTGCTGGCGATGGGAGATACTGAAACATCTGCCATACTCACCTGATATGAGTCTGTGTGATTATGGTCTCTTCGCCAAAATGAAAAGACCACTGCAAGGGATACGTTACGATACAAGAGAGGGGATTATTCATGCTGTAGGGCGGTCACTGCTGGACATCAACAGAAGTGAACTCGCTGATGTTGTACGACGCCTTCCACAAATTTGGCAGAAGGGGGTACACATGGGAGGCGATTATATTGAAGGAATGTAAGTGTGTTTACCTCAGGTAATAAAGTCATTTCAGAACTATAGAGCTGTTGCCACTACTTTTTATCCAACCTATATAGAACTCCTGAAACCATTTAAAATAACAGTTATGCATGCATTGCAACAATGTAGTCATGGTAATGGAGTGAGTGTTTATAATTGAATATTTCAATCTTTTATGATGTTGAAATCAACCAATCATCACCTAATTTTATTTTCTGATGAAACTTGAGTTTCCTTGCATAGTGAGGTAAAGTCAACTACATGGTTTTAAAATTGGCGTGTGGTATGGTGTGAGCACATGCAGAATAATCCAACTAATTTTCTTTGAGGACACAATTCAGAAAGTTAAGTGGATTAGTGCTTTCCATTTTTGAGTTGGCTGACTGGTGAAAGCAGAATGCATTTTTCCATCAAGATCTGCTACTGATTGCACAGCAAAGACATCCATGGATGCCTTAAGGGAAGTGTTTGGAGAAAGAATTGTTAGTAGTAGCATGTTTCCAGTACTGCCTTCCAACTTCAACTCATGTGATTTAATTATGATTTAAAAGGTTAACGTGTCAGACCCCACACAGCTGAAGAACTGAAAGAAAATATTTCGAGGGAGGTTTGCTGTTTACCAAGAATAACTTCAGCACATAAATATTTGTTACAGAGGTGTCAGGAATGTGTTTGAAGTAGTGGAGAGCATTTATATCATCTGTTGTAGTCTGGGTAAATTTTGTTGGATTTGAGGTTCTTACAGCCATGACTATGAAGAGATCTGTCTTCTGAAATATAATGCCACATAGTCCAGTGAAAGATAACTGATGTTTCAGAGAAACGTATTGTCTCCATCTTCAGGATCAAAGAGTAAGCCCAAGCTTTTGTCTTGTTTGGCCAACACTTCGATTCCAAAGAGTGAAGTAATCTGTTTCTCTGAAACGTTTGTTGACTTTCATCAGACTGTGTGGCATTATATCCCAGATGATAGAACTCTTCATGGGTAAAATTTGTATGTAATGTGTTTAGGCTGTATGTTTGTCAGTTTTGCTGGCAGTCTCTACGAAATTGAGTATGGAGATAATAAAAAATGGACCCATAATCGTTCATTGTGTCCCTAACATAATATCTCATTTTTATTATTGTCCCCCCCCCCAGCATTTCTTTACAGTCATGTCAGGAAATTGTGGTTGTATTCACTGTCAAATGGATCTAAATGTCAGCTGTATTCATTACATTTATTAGCCATTGCCATCAGCAGTTGGGTCATATATTGAAGAAAAGCAGAAAGAGTGTAACTAGTGCAGAATCTTCATTTGCATGAGGTAGGTATCTCGTCATTGAGGTACTCTATGAAAGGATGGATACAACCAGATTCCAAGGACACTGTGGTTTTGGCCAAATTTTATCTTTGCTTATGCTTGCATTGTTGTCATGCACTGCTACTGAGTGGTCATCAGTCTCACTCACTGTCAGGCATTAATGTGAGGGTTATAATGTTATATTAAGATTAATGAGGAATGCATTTGAATTGGGACACATTTAAGGCAGTTTGATGATTTGGGGGTTTTGCAGAATCCCTAATGAAAATATTTGCTTGGCAGGGATATCAAATTCTCATGCCATAAACGGTGGAAATCACAGATCCAGTCTACTTATAAGTTCATCTAGTTCAAGCAGCAGTTCTAGTGCCACTTCACCGTGCAGACTTACTCCAGAAGTTGGTTGGAACAGTCAGGTAGATATTACAGTGTGAATACTGCATTATGTATTTTGATATGAATTTGTTCATTTAGTGTATGCTGTTGTTTCCTAGCTTAAACTGTAAACATTAAATGGTATACTATTCATATGCTGCCACATTGTGCAGATATATTGTTATTAAGCATAAAATATGGAATTTGTTTCCAAAGTATATAAAACTGATTAACTTTTATGAAACTCAGGGTAAAGCATAGGATTTCTATTAAAACTCGTCATATTTAATGAACAGCTAATATTTAAGCTGGTAGTAAATTCTTGGTAACATACAAAAATTGCATAGTAGATTTAAGCAGTCATTGAATATGACAAGTAGATGTTTATTTTGGAAGACTAGTTCTAGCAGATTGCATCATTGCTTGATATTTGTTATAATGGACTATTTGCTACAGCAGTTGTTATATATGTTTGAGAATTCTAAGTCAGTTGCTGGTGCAGAGGATGTGATTAGACCTACATCCAACAAACTTCCATCACTACCAAGTATACCACCTGAAGTGATGCGTACAGCCAGTGAGAGACATCAAAAAGGACTAATGTCACCATATATATACCAGATTCTAACACAGGTACATATTTACATTGCATGGGAATGAAAGATAAATTGTTCAGTTATTAGAGAAACAAGGTTCAATTTCTGTTGTCTGTGGTTTTATTCCTAATGGAAATAAAGTCTCTCAGAACCATCACATGCAGAGCTCCAGAAATACTATTTTAATCTACTAGGTACTTAAGAATTTCATGTCCATGAATTCTTGTACTTGGCCACAGGTCACTTTTGGCTTGCTCATGGTGAATGGGTGGTACTGTATTTGGAAGTTGTGTTTGCATGTGGGACCACTGAGGTCCAGTGGTTTGCACTCCTGTTTATTGTTTATGATCTTCATAATTGGTGCTCAGCCAAGAGATGAGAGTAAATAAGGTCAAATAACAAAAGAATATTACTGCTTAGTGTGTGGAGATAATTGATTTGTTCTAATTCTTGATTTTTAAATTTTTTCATATTTATTTTTGTGCCAGGGTGAAATAAAACTGCCCATGTTAATGGAAGATGAAACTCACAAAGAATTGCCCAGTATTCATCTTTTATATCGACCTGTGAGGCAGATGGTATATGCAATTCTGTTCAACCTTCATCATTACATGTATATGGCTTCTAAGAGCAAAGAGAAAGGTGGTGAGTATTGAAATAGTGTAGCATATAGTAACCGGGGGGGGGGAAATTAACAGTGAGCAGATGCTTTAAATTGCCTTTTGTGGAAGGGGGCATTGTCCTGCATGTAACTAATAGTTTAGTGAAATGCAGTGTCCATACTAATACCATGAGATTAACATTTTTCTCTTGTGGCTTCGCTAATGGACTAGATAGAACTTTCCAAGACTGAGAAAGTCGGTAAGTTACATGATGACTTATTGACTGGTGAAAGTTGGGCACATAATTGTATGGAATTTGTTAGGTAAACATGAGTGGTTGTTCGCTTCAGTAGTTAGTTAGTTATTAGAGAGGGTGGGTTTCCCCATGCACTTAGACCTGTAGTGGTCCATTGTGCTTCCCTCTATGATTTCTGCCAGCCTCTATATCCTACCGGTATTGGTGCTTACCATCAGTTCCGCCCAGCCAGCGAGACTGGCTCTACTGGCTGAGAAGTATCTATAATGCTTCCCCCATCTACCGGAGGTATTAGTGACTGCTGTTGGGCGGCAAACGTCCGCAATTTTGCTCAGTGACCTCCTCTGGAGGTATGAGGTTCTTTTACGTGCTGTAAAGCTACCACACGGGACCCACGGATTAAAGTCCCTCCCGGAGGACTTGTTCCCTGAATTTTTCCGCCCTTAAAAATTCGACGACCTCCGCCAGGTATTTGAACCCGCGTACTACAAGTCATGAGGTGGGAACGTTACCTCTAGACTACGGAAGCCGCTATTGCTTCAGTAACTTGAATGGGAAGTTATTATAAATTTAATTGTTTCCTTATTTAACTGTTAAAGGATGGACTTGAATGTGATCTGGCTTGGTGATGAACTGCAAATAAAGAAAAATGAAAACTGATTGAGAATTTGAGGACTTTCTGGATGTATTAATGTACCTACTACAGTTCCATTTCTATAGCAGAATTACATTTTGTGAACCGGCTTAACTGAAATGTGTTTGTTGTTCAATGAAATCCAAGACTGACCCTTAAATTTGAAATCTTGAAAATGAAATGAAGAAAAGGATATTTCAGAAATTATTTTCTTCACCAGTATTAGTGTTCAGTATTATGTTGTATTTTGTTTTTCTTGGCTTTACAGTAGTGGGCTAATTCTGTATAATTTCTCTTATCAGACATTGTTACTGTTGTGTTTCAGTAATTACATAAAAAGTTTTAATGTATTTTACCTTCTGGATTATAGTCATATTGTGCATAAACATTCACCACTAAGAAAACTTGCCTTCTAGTAATTGTCTTGATTGCATTCAAGCAGGTAATGATAAAACGTTATTTTCATGCATTGTACATGAGGCTGCGGTTCCTGAATTATTAATTAAATTTCTGTTTGTAATGCCCTTTTTCTGACCAAGATCAGCTGTTGGGATTTTGTTCTTATGACACACTATACAGGGTGTTTCAAAAAGAACTTTACAACTTTGAAAGCTTATATAAATTTATACAGAGGACATACACAATGTTTTGAACTGTCATAATGTAGCAGAACATACCGAGTTTCATGCACATGGTACTGTAGTACCCAATACCACCACGAGCACTCCCACAGTTGAAATCAAGATGGCTACTTTCACAGGTGCAGAGCATGCTCATTGTGTGTTTTGGTTCGAAGAAACGGAGTTACTACACAAGTTCAAAGGAAATTTCGCACTCAGTATCGCAAGGAACCTCCTAGTAGGCCTACAATTTACTCCTGGCACAAGAATTTTGTTCAGACTGCATGTTCTGTGCGCCATGCCAAGCCACCAGCTCAGCCACGTGTTTCTGATGCTACAGTGGAACAGATTAGGGAGAGCTTCGTTCGAAGTCCATGAAAGTCGATGTGACGTGCATCTTGGGAAACTGGTATTCCAAATGTTACTGTGTGGGGAGTGTTACGAAAACGTTTGCACTTAAAAGTGTACAAACTATACATCGTTCAACACCGTACGGATGCAGATAAGGTGATTCATAAGGAATTCTGTATGCAAACGTTTCACCGGATACAAGACGAGAAGTTTCTGGACTCCGTAATTTTCAGTGATGAGAGCATGTTTCATGTCAGTGGTAAGGTCAGTACCCACAACTGCAGGATCTGGTGCAGCGAAAATCCACTTGTCTCCCTGAAACATGTTTGTGATAGCCCAAAGGTGAACGTGTTTTGCGCCCTCAGCAGAGAAAGAATGTATGGCCCCTTCTTCATGAAGACGACCATTACCGGTATCGTATATCTGGACATGCTCCAAGAGTTCCTCATTCCACAGTTAGACGAAGATGACCAAGAAGGACGCATTCACTTCCAGCAAGACAGTGCACCCCCTCATTACCGTGGAGAAGTGCACGAGGTCGGTGGATTGGTAGAGCAGCGCCAATAACATGGCCACCTCATTCCCTGGATCTTACTCCCCTGGATATTTTCTTATGGGGATTTGTTAAAGACTGAGTGTTCGTACCACTTTTGCCCGTAAATGTTGTTGAGCTCTGAACGAACTTGAATTACTGCCTCAGTTGCAGAAGTGACGCCAGAGATGCTACGTAGCGTGTGGCAAGAGACTGACTACAGGTGGGACGTCTGCTGCATTACCAATGGAAGTCGCATTGAACCATAACTATCCGAGGTAAAACTCGGTGTGTTTTGCTACATTATGACAGTTCAAAACGTTGTGTATGTCCTCTGTATAAATTTATATAATCTTTCAAAGCTGTAAAGCTCTTTTTGAAACACCCTGTATATATCCCTTGAGAATCATCGGAATGTCTGGAACTGAGATTGTTATAAACTCTGATTTTAAAATTCGGAATTTTTATGTTGCATGAAGGAAGGATTGTGAATGGAGTTCATGGAGGAAGGCCTAGGCCCACTGGGGCTGTAGTGCCAAGGAAAAAATAAATGAAGGAAGGATTATGACTAATGTGGTATTTCACTTAATCTTCATAGTGTAATTTTGGGAAAGGTATCAGGGCTTGAACTTGAACAAAGAGGTGCAGCACACCATTCTGTTTAGGGATATTTCAGTTAAAATATTCAATATTTGAAAAGTGGCATGAGGCATATGCATAGTTCGCATAGTGGGGGTGGAGTCCAGTTTGGTCCACTTGGCACGGTGGCCACTGATTGGCCTATTGTACCTGCCCTGGGTGACTATGATGATGGAGAATTTGGTGGAATGAAGATTGGCAGGGGAAACCGAAGTACTCTGAGAAAACCTACCCCAGCGCAACTTTGTCCACCACAAATCCCACTTGACCAGACCAAGGTTTGAACTAGGGCCACCGCTGTGGGAAGCCAGCGACTAACCGCTTGAGATATGGCGTGGCCCGGTAGCGTAGTTGGTTGAGGCACTATGCTACAAGCCAGAAGGTCGCAGAATTGAATCCCAGTGAGGTGGATTTTCAGTTTACTTAATTCTTCCAGCTGAATTATGGCCCTGGATTTGACTCAGCCTCTTAACAGAAATGAGTACCATGAATATTCTTGGGGGAAAAGGTGGCTGGTGCATTAGGCTGACAACCTTAGTGCCATCTGTGAGCCAGTTGTCTAGAACAGTGTTCTGCAACCAGTGTGCCGTCAGAAGGTGTGACACAAACTTTTACCTATTGTAAGAAATTAATTGTCGAATTTTATTTGTTTTATTTTATCCCAGTTACCGTGTTTCATATGCTTGTATTTTATTCTCAGCCACTGTACTGATTAAATAAGATGATGCTTGTCTATTCTTTATTACATGCCCTGATTTTTTATGTACAGTAATGTTGTATTCTAAGTGGCCTCCGTAGTCTAGAGGTAACGTTCCCACCTCATGACTCATAGTACCCGGGTTCAAATACCCGGCGGAGGTCGTCGAATTTTTAAGGGCGGAAAATTTCAGGGAACAAGTCCTCCGGGACAGACTTTAAGCTGTGGGTCCCGTGTCGTAGCTTTACGGCACGTAAAAGAACCTCATATCTCCAAAGGAGGTCAGTGAGCTAAATTCAAGAACATTTCCCGCCCAACAGTAGTCTCTAACGCCTCTGATTGGGGAAGAATTATAGATACCGCCAAGCCAGTAGAGGCCGAACTCGCTGGCTCGGTCGGGACTGATGGTACGCACCAATATCGGTAGGGTATAGAGACTGGTAGAATATCATAGAGGGAAGCACAATGGACCAATACTGGTCTCAGTGCATGGGAAAACCCACCCTCTCCAATAACTAACTAATGTTGTAGTCTAAGAAATTAAATGTAAATTATCTACTAACATTTGGTGTTATATCATACTTTTCATTATTGATTTATTTTTATTTTTCTTGCAACTACGCCGCTTTGATATACGTGTACTTACCGCATGTTCTCTGTACATGCTTTTCCCTAAAACTGCAGGGATTAGCAAGGGTTTCCCTGTATTTTATTGACATGTCCAGTGACATTGAAGCCATTATGAAGGAGAAAATCAACAGCAGTCAGAAGTTCTTGCGTCACGTCGACGAGTCCACCAATATTAGCGGCCACGCACAACTTCTTGCTTACATTCGATACATCGATGGAGATGTAACTGCAACAAATTTCTTTATTTTTTGCAAAGAACTTCCTGAGCGAGCCACCAGTGAAGAAGTATTTCGTGTCACTAATGAATATGTGTTACATAATGAATTAAAATGGAAGGATTGCGTTAGTGTTTGTACAGACGGGGCCGCTTCTATGACAGGCTGTGTTAAAGGATTTGTAGCTAAAGTACGCAAAGTAAATCCTAACATACGATGCGATTATTGTCTCATTCACCGCGAAGCCATTGTTGGAAAGTCTTTGCCATCTTCTCTGAAAGTTATGCTGAACGAAGTAGTAAAAGTCGTGAACCTCATCAAATCGAGGCCCCTAAATTCGCGGCTTTCTTCCGTTTTGTGTCAGGAAATGGAATCAGAACACACTACACTCCTACTACATACAGAAGTATGGTGGTTATCATGAGGAAAAGTGTTAACGCGAATATTTGAACTTGATGAGGAGGTACGTGCATTTTTGACTGTTGAGGGGCTTGAGTACGCGGATTTATTTGCAGATGATGAATGGATATATAAGTTGGCATATCTTTCCGATATTTCCGTACACTTGAATGAGCTGAACAGAAAGATGCAAGTTAGGAACAAAAATGTTCTAACTAATATGGATAAGATACAAGAATTTGTAAATAAGCTGAATTTGTGGATACAGAGAATTACAGATGGGTCATTTGAGATGTTCCAGACTGTATGGCCACTTGCTGATGGCAGTAAAGTGGCGATGGACACAATTAAAGAACATTTAGAAATTTAGCAGAAATTCAATAAATATTTTGGAGAGAGAGTACAAGATTTCGACTGGGTTCGTGATCCATTCGTGGTGAATTCAGAACATCTTCCGATTAATATACAAGAAGAACTCGCAGATTTAAAAGCAGACAGAACATTGAAACTAAAACTTCTCAACTTCTCGAAGTGCCTTTGGATACGTTTTGGTTGGCAGTAAGGTGTGGATACCCAGCTATCTCCGAGTTGGTAGTTAATGTGTTATTGCCATTTTCAACTGCATATTTTTGTGAACTGGGTTTCTCGACATTAACTGAAATTAAGACATCAAAGAGGGAGCGGCTCAAATCCATTGGTGAAGAAATGAGACTTGCGTTGTCAACGATTCCACCATGGATCAGTCGCCTGTGTGCAGCTATGCAGGCTCAAGTGTCACATTGAAGGCATGAGTAGAATTACTGCATTTACTTTAATAGTAATAGAAATGTGTTGTCTACACTATACAGTGAATTAAAGTTCATTAATTGTTAAAAAACGCACAAGTCAATTTCTCTTTAATGATAATAAAATAACAATATAATAATATTATAGTAATAAGTTGATCATGTTACGTATTTATATTAATTGTCTGATATCATGCGTTTTTGAGGGGAACAACATTTTGGTGTGCCGTGTTGAGTCATGGATACTTCATGGTGTGCTGTGAGTAGAAAAAGGTTGCGGAACACTGGTCTAGAAAATGTGGGAACCTTAATATCTCATAACCTTATGGGCCTCCACGGCCTGTTACAGGGTTACTTTACCTACTTTTACTTTATATTGGAAAAGTATGAATTCAAAAGGTGCACAAGAAGAACATGACATAGTAAATAAGTTTTCTGCAATTACTTGCATGATTTAGGCCAGAGTGTTACATGTGGAAGTTGTGCTGTGTAGGAAATATGCAAATGCTCTTTTTCAGAGTCTGATTTTACACGTTGGATTCAAGTTATTGCACTTCAAGGGAAAGGAGCAGCAACACAGTATGGGTATTCATGCATACAGACTCCACTGTGCAGTTCCTTGATGTACAGTGAGACAGAAATGCCTCTTGATAGAATTTTAATTGGCCAGTAATTTTAATGACAAATACAATTAATTAGAGTTGAAACTGATGTGGCAACAGAGTACGTATATCCATGCCTCAGGATTTTTCTGCATGATTCCTTGATGAAAATTGAGATGAAGTTTTCGCTTGTGATGAAATGTAGGCTGAGGCTTAATTTTTGTAGAAAATGCAGCTAAGTTCAGTGATGTGTTGTAACATAGTATGTATATTTGTGCCTACATATTCTGCCACATGATTTGGCTATGCAGAAAATTCAGTTGGAGTTCATGTACTATGATGCTGTAATGTATTTAAATTTAATAACAATTTCTGTGAAGTTAGGTGTTGGAAAATGTTATCAAGGGAAAAATTGGGTATTTAATTATTTTAATTTATCTAAAAGAGAGGGTGTATGAATTATTTGGAGTGGTAAGTTATGTAAGTAAATAACAGTAACTGGGAGTTAAAGTAACCTGACCAGTTAGTCATATTTGGTATTAGCTCGTCACTGCCATAATTAATGAGATTAGAATATTTTCAGTTATCAGGTGCCAGCAGCAAACTTTTATTTTCACAAAGACTAGAAATTTGTAGTTTCACAATGCTCCAGTATGTAGAAAGCAGTATCAAACAGTCTGATATATATGATTGCTTACATTGTAGCAGCTGCACTTCATTCTCATTGTTATCACTGTAATACCTGGCAACGTCTAAGGTCATTCCTTTCATTCATTCATTTTTTTTTTTTGAACTTGGGAACTGTGATATCTCAGAGCTTTGTGTTAAACTTCCATTCATATCAGTAATTGAAGTTCTTTTATTTTTAGAGGCAGAAAAATGTGATATCCCAGAACTTTGCGTAAAAGAATGGATTTGGTCAAAGTGCAATCCATATCAATCACCAGACTTGGTGAAAGCGGAACAAATTGGATGGGGTGTTCCTACTATTCAGAGACTTTGGTTTGGGTATGTGATATTTATTAAGTACAGGACTTACTGAAGTGTATTGTTCATGTTGTTTAAGTAAAGGTTGTAGTAAGGCAGGCAGTTTACCAGTCTCTGAAGTAAATACTTACAGGTTGTAATGCCATTCATACTGAGAAGATGTAAGTCAATGTTTGAATGTTAGTTTCTCTTTGGGAAGCTTATACAAGGAGCGTTCCATATATAATGCCTCCTAATTTTTTAATGAAAACTACAATAGATACAGAAAGCATATTAACATAGTTAAATAGAGCAAGAATTCAGCTACTTACAGTTATTTTTCCACATAATCACCACCATTCGTTATGCACTTTTGCCAACAATGAACAAGAGCCTGTATGCTTTGCCCATAAAAGTCTGCGCCAGCAGAGGCTAGGCACTTTCTTACAGCTGCAATGACAGCATTGTTGTCTGGAAAATGTTGCCCACATAGTCCATCTGTCATAGGCCCAAAGAGATGGAAGTCTGAAGGTGCTAAATTGGGGCTATAAGGTGGATGTGGTAGGACAGTCCAACCAAACTTTGCAATGTGTGTGGTGGTCGTCAAACCGGTTTGGGGTCTAGAGTTGTCGTGTTGCAAGCGAAGGGTTGTCTGCTTCTCTGGCCTGACTCGGGAAATGCGGGGCTTTCGGCTTAGTTAGCATTTTCTTGTAGTGTTCAGAATTGACAGTCTCACCAGGCTCAAGGAAATCCAACAAAATCACATCCCGCCTATCCCAAAAGACTGTGTACGTCATTTTCGCTGCTGATGGCTGTGTCTTTAACTTCTTTTTAATTGGGGAATCCAGATGTCGCCACTCCATGGACTGTCTTTTGGATTCCAGCTCATAGTGGTGACGCCATGTCTCATCTCTGATGACGATGCTGTCCAGAAACTTGCCACCTTCAGCCTCAAACTGGTGCAACAGGTCCTGACAGACTTCCATTTGATGAGTTTTGTGGTCCTGTGTAAGCATCCTCGGGACCCACCTGGAACAAACTTTGCGATAATCCAGCTTCCACAACATTGTTTCCAATGTATTACAGCTGATATTAAGCCATGCACACAGTTCCCTGGTTATCCGCTGATCTGTACGGATGAGCTGATCGAGGCGCTGATCATTGTGAGGAGTGGCAGCTGAGCAGGGATGCCCAGGGCGTGGCTTGTCGTTCACTTTTGCCACTGTTGAAACGCACTACCCACTGCCTCACTGTGCTGACATCCACTGTATCGTCTCCGTACACCTTTAGGAAGTGTTGATTGATGTCAGTGGGTGCAATTTGTTCGGCAGTGAGAAATTCAATAACACATATCTGCTTCGTATGCACTTCTATGTCAGACGCCATTTTGGTAGACTGCTCTCCTGTCACTATCTGTCGCACAACAACCAAACTCACAGTACATTGGCGGGAAGGTTCAAGCTTCACTACACCACCAACATCCAGCTCAGACGTTACAGATTAACACAAAAAAATAGGAGGCATTATATATGGAACGCCCTTCGTAGATTACTCTGATTTGTTTTATGTACCTGGTTTCCCTTATTCCATCCAAATGAACCCCAGAATGATATCCCTCTTCACTCTTTCACCTTCATTTGCCATAAAAACATTGGCTTGTTACTTTAAATCAGAAAGATATTCTTTAGAATTCTGTTCCATAAAAGTGTACTTATCTGCTTATATTCAATATCATAGTGCTTAAAACCAGTTTTCAGCTAATACCACAATGACCCACTGTTGGAGAATGGATGAATTGATAGATATAATACCAGCCTATGGAGTGTACTGTACATGAAATGAGTTTGTAGAGTTATTTGGTAAAAGATGATTGTCGTGTCTGCAGCATTGACTGCCTTGACTCAGAAGTAATGTTGTTAGGAAATAATTGATCATGGCTTCAGTCATGAACAGATGATTTGCTGTGTTTAGTTACAAATAATATTTCTACCTTAAATTACTTATATCCAGCAAACATTTTTTTAATTATTGAATGTTTGAATCAATGCATTCTTTGACTATTTCTGAGTGTACCTGGTTTGTTTTTATTTTGTTGAATGAATGTGGCATACACTTTATATTTATTGAAAGCTTTCATCTTCTAGATCTGCTATTGATGACAAACGTCGCCGCCTTCGGGCATTCCTGACTTGTATGCGCTCAGACACTCCACTGATGCTGAATCCTGCCTATGTTCCCCAGCATCTACTTGTAATGGCTTCCGTACTCAGGTACATGAGTAACATTTAATAATACTGTGTGATCATCAGGTCAGTGAATTTTTCAGATTCAGCGATAAATACTAGGTGGTTCAAATATGACAGGGACTGATTTAAAAAAAAAAACATAATTGCCAAACACTTACTTGCACATGTCAGTCTTCAACGTACTCCCCTCCGGAGTCAACACATTTTTTCCAACTTTCTGGAAGCATCCTGATGCCCCCCCAAAAAAGACTTGTGGTTGGCGGCATATCCACTCCCGAACAGTCTGAATGATGGCGTCGTCCACAAACCACATGCCTTGCAATTCTGATTTGAGCCTTCTGAACAGGTAGAAATCACTTGGGGCCAAATCGGGACTGTACAGAGGATGTGTCAGAAGGTTCCATTTCAATTTCCGAAGGGTTTCCATTGTTGCTTTGGCCGTATGGGGGCGTGCATTGTCTTGAAGGAAGGCTACCCGCTTTCCACCTGTCTTCCGCTTGGATCAGGTCTTACTCCAAGTTCCAAATAGTGATGCGCCTATTCTCATGAATAAGCACGTCTGCACAATCAATGTTCGGCTCGGTGATGGATGTTCGCGGCCAATGATCATGCGGTTCATTCTCCACGCGCTCTCTGCCCTCTCTGAAGCACTTACACCACTCAAACACACGGGTCCGTGAGAGACACTCTTCACCATACTGTTGTTGGAGTCTGGTGAATTTCAGTGGACTGGACGTTTTCTCCAATGAGGAATTTGATTACAATGTGTTGTTCCGTGCTCCGCGGTACCTTCTATTCTCTCATCACTTTAGCAACTTACAGACAGGACCTAACAGGTTCTAACCCTAACAGGAGGGAGGGTGGAGGTTGTGGCTTCAATCTATCAAGTTCCCACAGCTGCTGCGGAATGCGGCTTGTTTACAAAAAAATCAGTCCTGGTCATATTTGAACCACCTTATATTATGTGACTTGACATAGTGGCAGTATGATATGTAGATGTGAAGTGTGGCACTGGAGATGACCAGAAATTACGTATTGCACAGAAATATTGACAGAGAGTAGTACATTCACTTTTATAATCCCCCCCCCCCCAAAAAAAAATATTTTGCTGTCAGTGTTATAACCCCCCCAATACAGTGGAATTTAAATATAGTGTGTGTGTGTGGCTTATGATGAGAATTTCATTTCGATGAGAGAAAAAATCATTGTGTTTATGTTAATGTTACATGTATGGAAAAGTCTTACGTAAAACATAAAGCTGTAATTGCAGGTTTTGCTTCTTAAGCTGTTTGGAGGTGACAGTCTCTAAAGGTACTAATAAACCACAGCCCATGTCCCTATGTCCTTCAGGTCACAAAGACCACATCCAAATTCTGAAAACTATAGGTGTATGTGTGTGCGTGTGCACACGCATGTGGGAGAGAGAGAGAGAGACCAGAGGATTTTTAACTGTGTGACAGCAGTGCTTATAAACAAAAGTCATATAATTCACAGTTGAAAAACATTGGCCAGCCGTTGCTAGTACATGAGATTATGTAGCCATGAAAAAATAGTAAATTTCTCAGCTCATATAATATTGTAGCATGTAGACCCGTTGCTAGGTTTTGGCCTGTACATGTAGCAGAGGAACATGCCACATACATGGTAACATCACACAACAGCAGAAGATGTGTTGCAAGTGGCATTCTCTATGGGTTCACTCCAAGGCTGTGTAACTTGACTGAGTTCAGATTGGTTAGTGCACTTGAGTACAGTGGAGTGAAGTGAGTTAGATGGTGAGCAGTCACTTAGAGGACTGCTGCAGTTTAGTTGTGAGCCATTGCTGTTAGACTCTGGTAGTTGAGACATGGGGATAGGTCAGGAACCCAGAGTAAGGGAATATCTGCTAATAGAGGCCATTCCCAGGCAACATCTAGTGGAGACTTTAACAGACTGAGAACCTAGTGTGGTCAGTAAACTCAATTACCAATCCAGACCCCATCTGTAGTCACTCAAATATGTGACAGATGGTGACAATATTAAAGATTTATAGAATTCCAAATTATTTGTTACTTTCATATTTGCCTGATAACTGCTTCCAGGCGACTTATGAAATATTGGCATAATGTAGAATTCTGGTGCATTCACTCCAGTGTATCTCGACAGCTTAATATCCATTTTGTTTCACTATATTGAAAATTGTGCAGCTAATGGAGAAAGTGTCGTGGCCATGAAATGTGACTTTTATTTACATCTGCAACTTTTGTTCAGAACAGTTTTGTTTTGATATCTATATAGGAAGTTCTTGTGATTTTTGCATGAGATACTTGCAGAAACACATTATGGTAGTGTCCATTTTTTTTGTCAGATTTTAACCAAAACTGATACATGCTGGCCATTTTTAGTAAAACTCTCCAGTATCATATTTCATGAAAATTTGTTTAGCGGTTCTTGATTTGCTACATGCTGGCAGACAGATAAACATGCAAGCATGGTGAAGGTAGTATAGGTATTTTCACAAGTTCTTGTAGTAAACATCCCAAAAAGAATAAATACAGTAAGTTCCCATCCTTCACAATTCATTCCAAGTGTTTCCATGTAAGTTGAATGTTGTACAAGTCCAGCAGTGCTTAAATATAATATAATTTTTACATGTGTGTATTTCAGCATGTAGTTAAAGCTAAAAAAGTACAATAAAAATAATATATAATGATATAGCATGTGATATTATAGTGTCCTGCAGCATATAAACTGTGTATATGTGGTCAAAATTACTCTGGAAGTCAAAGTACCTAAAGGATTTAAATAGAAAAATGTAATAGTGTGTATCTGACTTATGAGTTTTTGTGCCATCTGTGTGCAACATCGTTCACTTTTCTTTATTATACACTATATCACTACATGTTTTGGCCTAACTGACCATCTTCAGGTGTACAGGTGTTGTGGACAAGGATTCTGCTGCTCACTGTAATGTAGTTTTCTTTCCTACTTTTGTGGTTGTCTCTGGTTATTTTTTGTTAATGTGGATTGTGTGGGGTTGCTTATGGTTTTGTTCGATTCGCTGGTTGTGGCTTCTTTGCGTGTGTTCCTGCTTCTGACCCAGCAGGTCACATACACTGTGCAGAATAATAGATGAGGAAATTGTGGATGTATTGACAGCTGTAGAGTGTGACGGTGAATTTCTTGACAATGAAAGTGAAGTACACTCTGAAGGTGGTGGCAGAACAACCCAATCAAGTGCACATAAATGCACACAGAACCTTGGTACTATGTTTTGTTTGATTCACTGGTTGTGGCTGCCTTGAGTGTGTTCTTGCTGGGGCCCCAGCATGGCTCAACATGACCTTGCTGTGTTCATTTTCATGCAGGTACAACCTTTATAAACATGTGTCATCTGTAGTATCTCTCTGAATGCATTCAAACTTGCCAGGCACACATTTGATCTGTCATGAACGTAATGAACTGTGAGTCACACATCTTGCTGTCTTTGTATGTCACCTGTACAGGAAGAGCACTGCATCTAGCAGTGAGATTTCTCTACATATCACTTGGCCTTGTACATCATAGGGATAGTAAAAATGGGATCCACTAGCCGGTCACATACACTGTGTGGAATAATAGATGAGGAAATTATGGATGTAATGACAGCTTTAGAGTCTGAGGATGAATTACTTGACAGTGAAAGTGAAGTACACTTTCAAGGTGGTGGTGGTGGTGGTGGTGGTGGTGGGTTGTGCAGTAGCTCAAGCAGTTAGTCGCTGGCTTCCCACCGCAGTGGCCTGGGTTCATGCTTGGGTCTGGTCAAGTTGGATTTGTGGTGGACAGGTTGGGGCAAGTTTTCTCCGAGTACTTCAGTTTCCCCTGCCAGTCTTCATTCCACCAAATTCTCCATCATAATCACCAGGGGCAGGTACAATAGGCCAATCAGTGGCCAACATGCCAAGTGGACCCAGCTGGACTCCACCGCCCAATGTGCGAAGGTGGTGGTGGCAGTGAAACAACCCAATAAAGTGCACATACATGCAGACAGAGCCTTGGTACTATGTATCATTGGAGTGATCGTGTGTCCAGTCCCACTGTGTGTAAACTGACATGGTAGTGATGGCATTTCAGCAGGTCATATAATTGAGGAATCCCCACCCCAGTGCTGGACTATTTTGAGCTGTTTCTTTTGTCTGATATGATGAACATAATGACCATTGAAACCAACAAATACTACACAAATGTCAAAAGCAGAACACCATCTACATCTGCCTCTTATTTCAAACAGTGGACAGATACAATTCCAGAGATATTATCTATTTTTTTTGCAGTAAGTATGCTCATGGTCTAAATGAAAAAGGATCAGTTCATGAATACTGGTTGACAGATCTGCCTGTATCAGCTCAACAGTACAGGGTTTTTACTTCTTTCTGGTGGTGGGAATATTCACAGAAAGTGATCTTAAGTGAGTCTTCTAGGTGGAGGTTAAGTAGAAGATCTATCATATTTAGAGTAGGGTTTTTTTCACATGATTGATGACCAGCTAGGACCTGAATATGAGTGGTTAATGTTTTTGTTTGTTCATATATACTGATTAATTGTATAATTGTTTGTGGCAGTGTTGAGTATTTTCTTGATAATTGTTTCATTTGGAACTTTTCTCTCACTACTGCAGATGTAATTGCAGTATCTGACTGTTTTTTTTAGGTACATAATGTCATTTACTGACAAGAAGATTCTCCGTAAACCAGAACTTGATGCATTCATTGCACAGGCCTTTTCTCCAGAACTCATGAATGCTCATTACCTTCAAGAGTTACAGGTACATTTTATGTAAATATGCTTCTTGAATTGCCTCAGGCTAATAGAATGGTAATGTTACTTCGGAGTGGTTACAGTATTTCATCTGCTGTGATAAAAATTTTCAGGGTTTGTCCATGTCGTATGTTTCCAGATTTTTCTATGGACAGATGAATTGAATCCTAAATGAAGGCTGTGCTCAATGTGTAGAAAAATTTCAGTGTTTTACTGATCATATGTGTATTTAAATTACAGTTTTTATTGCCTCTGATACTGTTGAGATAAAGAACTGTCAGTCTTGTTTAAGTCACCTTCAAAGTACTGTTTGGAAGAGTGCCCCTGATGTTAGATTTATCTAGTTCATAATCATGCATCATGAGTGCAAGAATTATTAAAACTTCCCTTTTGTTTGTGGAAGGTCTGAGGTATAAATTAATTTTGTTTTAGCTCCCTGTGGTGTCAAGCCGTGGTGTCCAATTAGCTGCGTTGTTCATGCAAGGGGTAGAGACTGCATTGCTAGCAAACGATGCTTGTGGTGCCCCTATTCCCTGGCTTATGTGTTGCCCATGGCTGTTTTTTGATGGGAAGTTGTTCCACCATAAATTGGCAAGGACAGCTGTTGTTAAAAACCTTCTGGAACTATGTGACCACCATATTGAACATGTTGTGAAGGTAGAACGAATGCGTAAGGCTGTTCTGGAAGGACTCAGTGTTCAGTTTGCAAGACCACCACTTCCTCAGATGGCCGGTACGTTACAAATACTGTACCAGGTAATATTTACAAGTAATTTTCAGGAAAGAGATTCTTTTGTAACATTGGTCTGTTAAACTTTAAGGAGCAGTTCAGTGCTGTCTGAAAGTTCCCTGATTGTTATTGTTGTAATTGCCTTGGTGAAAGAAGGTGAGAGCTGAGGCCAAGGTCACACTTCCGAAAGCCTGTTGCATCAGTCTGCCACGTGACACTACACTGTGAACACACATTGTTTTTACATGAGTGCTTTTTTCAACTTCCTGTTTCATTTTGTCTGCAATGGATGACAAAATCGAGCAACATGTCTGCATAAAGTTTTGTGTGAAGCCAGTAAATTTGATACCAAAACCCTTGAAATGCTTCGTGAGGTTTTGGAGAATATTCTTTAAGCTGGATAGCGTTTTTTTGAATGGCATTCATGTTTCAAGGCTGGTCAAGTGTCACAAATGTTCAGGGTGGCCAAGCACCAGCAAAAGGACAGAAAATGTTAAAAAACTCAAGAAATCATCTGCGAAGACCATCGCCGAACAATTCCTGAGCACACAGACACTGTTGGGATCAGTTGTGTAGTTTACTAGGAGATCTTAACAGGAAATTTGAACATGCTCTGCATTGCCACAAAGTTTGTTCCCTGATGCAGCAGGTTCGGAGTTCAAAAAAAAGCATGCAAAATGATTTCCCCCCCCCCCCATTTTTTCTCTTTCTTTCCGGACGTGGAGGTGATTGTTCACCATGAATTTGTTCCTCCTAACACTGCAGTCAACTCTGACTTTTACTGTGATGTTTTGAGACACTTGAGAGAAAATGTATGATGAAAAAGACCAGAACTTTGGTGCAACCACATCTGTCTACATGGCGACTGTGCCTGCCCACATGTCCCTGAAAACCACAGAGTTTTGTGACTAACAACAGCGTGGTTATTGTTCCCCATCCTCCCTACTTGCCACTTAGTCCCCTATGATTTTGCCTTGTTTCCCAAATTGAAAATGAAACCGAAGGGATGACATTTTGAAAAAGTGTCTGACATCCAAAGGGAATCGCAGATGGTACTCGACGCCTTTAAGGAAAATGACTTCTGCAGTTCTTTTGAAGCATGGAAGAACAATGGGAATGGCTGTATACATTCCCAAGGAGACTATTTTGAAGTAGATGGCAGCAAATTTGAGTAAGTTAAGCCAGCATTTCTTTTTTGACCTAGTCATGACCCACTGTATCACAACAGCCAACACATGGGCAGCAGTCAGAATTTGTAGGAAGGAATTGTGGCCTTTGGCAAGGGTATAAGAAAAAGTACTTAAAGCATTTGCCAGTCCCACTGAGTCAGCCTGTGACAAAGGAACACTGAGGAAGAAAGAAGAGGGTGATGACACAATGCAAAGGAAGAAGGAGGGGGAGGCAAGAGGAGTTAAACAACCAGTTGTAATTGCTTGTGATGAATAAAGGGTAGTAACTAGTAATTTCAGTTGCTACATTTGCATGTATGTGAGTGAACTACCTAGTCAAGAAACATTGGTCAATTCTCCATACTTTTGGAGTTATTTTGGAGTTTTTGTATATATTCATCCATAAAAGAAGTGTGGTTCTGACTTCCATAAGCAGTTGCCTGATAGTGTATGGATGAATGTGGTGAAATTAACAATGGCCACCCTACTCCAGACATGCACCAAGCTTGAACTGTGAAGAGTGATTCAGTTTTTTAATGCAGATAATGTTAAACATATTGTCACTCATTATATGAACTTTGTAAGGCAGTAGCTGTCTGTCAGAAACTCAGATATGTACATATGGGTTCAAAAATTTAATTAAAAGGTGTGAAAAATTTTAATGATGCACTTAATTATCTACTGTTAATTAAAGTGCTGTAATTTTAATCAGATAAGTAAAAAATACTTTTCAGTATTTATCTGATACTCCATTGTAAAACACTGATTCAGTTTGATAAATGTGATTGTTTCCTTATAGAAAAGCACTTCCTGTTTTATTATTTCACAGTAAATTTGATCACTTGGGTTTTTCTGTACAGGTTCACACATTTCCCTGTCTCCCTCTAATATCATGCCAGCAGGAGGTCCATTGATGGCATCCCGTACTTTGCCTGTGGGGCGCGGAGGTAACTTGTATCCTACAAACAATGGTGCTGCACGAGGTATGCTTCGTCGGTCTGTGCCAACCAGAGGTGGACAGTTAGAGATTGCTGGGGTTGTTGTTGGAAGTTGGGGTCCCAACTATGGCACCAGAGGTGGAATATGTGGACCACCACATTCTGGACCCATTGCTGCTCACAGAGGAATTAGGCTTGTTCCTCCACAGGTATAAATAAAATAATTGGTTCATTTTTGTGAACAATTCTGATGTTGCATTCAGTAAACCTAGTAGTAAGGGAACACTGGTAAATTTTATACTTCTCTTACTAAAGTTCAAAAGGGTGCATATTATTCTGGTATAAAAATCTTCAATCATCTGCCTAAAGAGCTGAAACAATTATCTAATAACCAGAAATCCTTTGAATGTGCCCTAAAAAGATTTTTACATGCTAACTCTTTTTATGCGTTAAATGAGTATTTTAATTACAAATGTACATAAATTTGAATGCTTAAAGTCACATTTTTAATATAGTTAGTATGGGAGATGTGAGGGGTTGTATTGTGGTTACTAGTGACTTATGTCTGTTAATCAGGATATTATCTTTTTGCCTCATATTGTTGTATGTGTTAGACAGTTAATATGGGTGATCTTGGTTGTGTGGTTTGCGTTACTTTGTGTATGTGTTTGATGACTATTTCCGCATCCTGGGTCTGTTCCCTGTATAGATGTTTATGGAAAGTGGACGATGTGTATGTATGTATATGACGAGTCCTGTATCAATGTTTTTTTATTTATGGGAAAATGAAATAAAGAAAGTATTTAATTATTTGGGTAATCTGAGTGAAATTGTATTAATTATAAGTTTTTATAATAATGCACTTTTTAAATTATGTTTAGTAATTACAATTGTAATAAGCTT